CAGTCAGTAACCCAGGAGTGCGAGAAAGCTGAAGGCCTCTTTGCTGGAAGACCGATTGTTGTTGTCGACACTCCTGGCCTTTTTGACACTAAGGAAGTGCTTAGAACAACAGCTGAAAAAATTCAGAATGCCTTTCAGTTTGCCTCTGCAGGGTTCCATGCCATCATCCTGGTGATGATAATGGGCCGAATCACTAAGGAAGAGCAGGAAGTGGCTGAGTGGGTGACCACGATATTCAGTAAAGAAAGAAGGAGGTAAACAATCCTGTTATTCACCCGAGCAGAAGAGCTGGAGCATCCAGGAGACCTGAAGGGTTTCATAGAAAAGAGCCCACGCCTGAAGGGTTTGGCAGCCAAGTGTGGAAATCGGTGCATTGGTTTCAGCAACAGAGCAACTGGGGAGGCGAGGGATCAGCAGGTAGCAGAGCTCATCAGCATGATTGATGCCATGGTAGAGCAGAACGGCGCTGCTCCACGATATACACGGCAAATGCTGCTGAAGGATTTATCCAATGTTCTTGGGAACTCTTGTGCTATTCTCTAAGTTCAGGCAGGACACATCTTCTCCTCTGCGCCATTCCTGCTGCCTGGCGCGCCGATGCCGGAGGTGCTGAGTGGTGACGGGCTGTGTGGGACCAGCAGGGCACGGGGGCTCCAACAACTCCACTGCGAGGAGCCTTACCTGCAGAAGCTGGAAGCTGTGAGGCCTGTGGGCCCTCGCTGTGCAGAGGCACCGTGGAACACAGCTGATCTGCACTTCCTCTCATGGCTGATAAAGACGACCAGCAGAGACCCTTGTGCAAAGCTCCCAAATCTCCTAGACTCACTTGGGCTGCCATCCTCAGGGCTGCGCTGGGTGCAGGAGTGGTGAAATACACCTGCCTCCAAATCTCTCTCCTTTTTCCTCTCCATTTTCTTTTATTTGCTTTCCCTCAAAGTAGTTGGTAAGGAAGCAGTGCCTCACCAACACCCTTGTGCATGATGCTTACTAAGCACTGTTAGAAAGCTGCCTCATTTGGCCTCAAACTAGTTGATTAGTTGTTGACAGAAAGCTCAATAAATTGCAGTTTCTCTTCAAATCAAGAGCAGAGGATCTCTCTGGCTGCAATAGTGGGAAAAAGAAAGACATAATGAACAGAAGGCCTTGAAAATGAGTGATGCAGCTCGGCAGCAACGTGTGCCAGACATAAGCACACACGAGGTGCCTGGTTTGTGCCGGTGACCAAGGGGTTGTAAAGGTCCTACAATAAAGGTCTGTGTAGTGCACCAGCCAAGGAGTCTGTGCCTCTCCTGCCACAGAACAGGCAGCAAGGATTCCGACAGAGAGGAGACGTCTCCTCCTTTGCGCCACTGCTGCTGCGCTCTGACAAGGGGCCGTGGGACGCTGCCGGTGCCGTGGCCGCAGGGGCTCCGCGTGCAGGGCGATGCGGGCCGTGCTGTGCTGCCGGGCCGGAAGGAGCTCTCGATAAACGCTGAACTTCGTGCGCGGTGCAGAAGCTGTGCCAGATCCATCTCTCATCCACAAGGGGGTGTGGGAAGCGGCTGTGAGTGGGCAGGGATTGCAGAGCCGCAGGGGGGTGAGGATGGGGCCCTCGGGGTCCCTCTGGTGCCCCTATCCCAGCAGGACTCCCCGGAGCACAGCGGGGTGGGAGCTCCCCAAGGAGGAGAGCCCCAAGAATGCAGTTGAGCAGCTCCTAGCTTTCTGCTAGCTCTGCAGCTCCCCATGACACACTGCACTCCTCTTCCTCAGCACGGCACCGAGCATCGGGCTGGGTGTGATGGGGTGCCAAGATACACAGCCTGGTGAGGACGGGCCGATGGGGGGCTGCAGGGATCGAGCTGTGGTGCAGCTGCCCTTGGTTCAGAGCTGAGGCTCTGCCTCCCTGCGCTCTCAGTCTCATTTTCTGCAGTGCCCGGAATGTGGTGCGTTTACAGGAATAGGGTTCTGTGTATCCTTCGGCCTCACCCTGTGTGTCTGTTGGTGATAGCCTGCTCTCTTGGCTGGGGGCTCCCACAGGGCCGGGCTGCGACCTCAGCACTGCACAGCGCCCTGCTCTGCCCTCCTGCTCCCCTCAAGCAGCCCAGCGCCACGCTGCAGCTTGCAGGCGCTGCCCATGCAGGTTGTTGAGCAGTGGTGCGAGGCTCTGTGGGCTGGGATAATGGTGCAACCATTTTATTGCCATGGTTGGAAAAGGCCTCTCATATCACCCCATCCAACCATCAGCTTTCAGCAATGTTTGCAGTAAACCGTGTGCCTCAGTGCAAGAGCTCAGCAGGCAGCCCTCCCCCCCCCACCTCCATGGGCAGCCCCTCCCAGCACCGGGGAAGTGTTTCCTGACATCCAAACTGAGCCTCCCCTGGCATCTTGAGGCCATTTCCTCCAGTCCTATCGCTGTCACCTGGGAGCAGAGGCTGACCCCCACCTCACCACCACCTCCTGCAGGACTTATAGGGAGAATTAAGGTCACCCACAGACAGGGACAGGGAGGTGATTGTCCCTCTCTGCTCTGCCCTCATGTGTCCCCATCTGCAGCACTGCATCCAGGTCTGGAGCCCCCAGGACAAGAAGGACAGGGAGCTGTTGGAGAGGGTCCAGAGGAGCCATAAAGATGCTCAGAGGGCTGCAGCACCTCCCTACAAAGACAGGCTGAGGGAGCTGGGCTTGTTCAGCATGGAGAAGAGAAGCTGCGGGGTGACCTCAGTGCAGCCTGCAGTGCCTAAAGGGAGCCTGCAGCCAGGAGGGGAGTCAGCTCTTGGCAAGGGGAGATGGCAGCAGGACGAGGGAAATGGTTTGGAGCTGAGGGAGGGCAGCTGGAGGTTGGATGTCAGGGGAAGTTGTGTGCTGTGAGAGCGGTGAGGGGCTGGAACAGCTGCCCAGAGAGGCTGTGATGCCCCGTCCATCCGTGGAGGTGTTGGAGGCCAGGTTGGATGGGGCCCTGGGCAGCCTGGGCTGCTGTGAAATGGGGAGGTTGGTGGCCCTGCATTGGTGGGGGGTTGGAGCTTCGTGATCCTTGGGGTCCCTTCCAACCCAGCCATGCTGTGATGCTGTGATGTTGAACAGGACAGGCCCCAGTACCGATTCTCAGCAGGGAAGGTGAGTGGTTACCAGCTGGATTTAAAACTCCATTCCCCAGCTCTCTCTGGGCTCAGCCTGGCATCCAGCTCTTTACCCAGCAAGGAGTGGATCTTTCCAAGGCCCAGATTGCCAGCTTATCCAGGACAAAGACAGATAAACTGGTAAAGCAAAATCAAAGCCTTCAGCTAAGCAGGAATCGCAGCTTCTTCACCTCTCTCCAGCAACAGTGACCCACCAGAGTGGGTTTGGGGACCCTCAATGAAGGTGTGAAAAAGCAACTGTTCAGTTTCAAGGTGCTGCTGTCAACAGGACGGAAAGGGAAAGTGTTCTGTGAGTGTCTGTTGGGCTCCTGAAGGAATAATTGCAGACTGCAAACCACTTCCATTGCTGTGGAAGGGAGATTAGAATGAGACAGCTGCTATCCTGTCTCAAATACAGCTCTTGTACAGCGCCGGCTCTCGGCGGGATGCCGACGGCTCCCGGCCCGCGGCCCCGCTCCGCGCCGAGCCCTCGCCCGAGGGCCGCATCTCGCAGCCCCGCGTTGCCATCGGTCTCGGCTCCTCCGTGTCAGCGGCCGGGGCAGCAGAGCGGCAGCGCGGCGGAGCCCAGAGCGGCGGAGCGGAGCGACTCGGCAGCGCACGCTCGTGGGGAAAGCGGTCACACGGGGCGGGGGGAAGGATGGGAACTGCGAGCAAGGAAGGAGGAAAGAGCTCCTTCGACTTCAGAGTCGTCTGCAGAGCACAGCACGGGCGGCACAGCGGAGGAGGCATGGCTTCCCACACCGAGCCTACAGGATGGTACAAAACTTCTGAAAGAAGGTGCGTTTGTCCTTCTCCAGCATTGGCTGCGTGTACTGTGCAGCATCACGATTCTGCTCTACCATGGCATCAATCATCCTGATGAGCTCTGCTACCTGCCGATCCCTCTCCTCCCCAGTGGCTCTGTTGTTGAATCCAATGTACCGATTTCCACACTTCCATGCCAAACCCTTGAGGTGTGGGCTGTTTTCTATGAAATCCTTCAGGTCTCCTGGATGCTTCAGGTCTTCTGCTCGGGTGAATAACAGGATTGTGTACCTCTGTGCTTCAATATTGAATATCTTGGCCACCCACTCAGCCACTTCCTGCTCTTCCTCAGTCATTCGGCTCAGCTGCATCACCAGGAGGATGGCATGGAATCCTGGGAGATGCTGGATGGCATTCTTAATCTTTTCAACAGTTTTCAGGTTTCCTACTTTTGTGTCAAAGAGCCCAGGAGTGTCAACAACACCAACAGGTCTTCCAGCAAAGAGGCCTTCAGCTTTCTTGCACTCCTGGGTTACTGACTGTGGTGACACCTCAGAACGAAATGCCT